TTAAATATTAAACTGTTAATTTGTTCATTATAATTTAAAAATTTACCTTCACCATCAAAATCAATTGCATCTTCTTTACAACAATAAAATTATCAGTTCATTTACAGTGTTAAATAAATATCTAAACGTTTGTAAATAATTGTGATAATTATTTAAATATCGTACTATGAAATAATTAATAATTAATAAATATAACATGAATACAAATACAAATAATTAATACGAATAATTAATAAAATCTGATAACAATAGTAATGATCGGAATATTTTGAATTGACATTTTAATACTTAATAGTAGATAACTAAATCAGTAAAAATAAAGAATTGGTTGAACCTAAATTTGGAATTTTGATTATTCATAATAATAATGTCTTATTTTTTAAAAAAAAAAATTACAATTAATGTATTTAATAGAATAGCAATACTAAAACGAAATGCTATGAGCCATTCCCGAAGAAAGTCCATAAGTGGTCTATTATCACGGTCATTGAACACTGTTCGAATTCGTGCTTCACGTTCACAGTCCTGTTTTTTTGTAAAGGTTGTGGTATTCCTTGTAAAATCGATTCTACATCAATCTCAACTCAATTTTGTTCTTTATGCAATTACTTTATGATTTTATAAACACCTGAATGTGCAGTGCCTACTAAGGCACCCCATCTTCGATGCCAAGCCTCTACAAAATTTTTAGTTTATGGAAATGCATAATTGATATTATCAACGACTGACCAGAAGTCAGGTGGAATAATGGTGGTGCTCGAATTGCATTCCCATCTCTTAATGTGCGTCTTGTTCTACCATGCACATAGTACTCTTCGAACCATTCTACAATTTCGTTAGCCTCTGGAGGAATATCATCCTTTAATTGATCAAATGCTGCAGGAATGTCATCGGGAGGCAAGAAAGCAAGTGCAGGAATGTGTCTAATTTTCCAACTGAAATTTTTGTCAGTTCCATATTGAACGCTAAGTCCAGAAGCTTGTACTTTCTGGTAAATGCTCTGAGCCAAATGAAATAAACATCCCTTGTTTTGGACACCTTGAAATTCTCTACGAGCAGCATTGATGGCTGCTTGTTCGAAATCAGTTAAAATAAATTGTGGCTGGAGAAGAACACCATTTTCATCACCAAAGTCAACCAATCCCTGAAACAAATTCCTATAACATTCTTCCGATTTTCTGGACATTAGTGCATAGACAAGTGGCATTATTTGTGAATTTTCATCTCTACCAACACATCCATGAATTGAATATAACTGTCTAAATATATTTGGAACTGTTTTAAATGTTCCATCCATGATCCAGAAAGGGGATTGTTCCAGATATTAGACATTAGCAATGGTTGTAAAGAGCAATATTCTATCTTGATCCAGGTCAATATCTTTAACCAAAAATTCTGATCCACTTAGAGTCTTTGTCAAATCTTCAGGAACAATAAGTTCATTTAAAGATTCTGGTTCTACAGGAAAATCAGAGCTCCTAATTTGATTAATTGTTTGACGAAGTGCATCATGAGATGGAAGGTATGGATGCGTTTCGTGAGAGATATTAGCAGTTGTGGTTTGAATAATTTGTGCAGGTGGTTCATTAGTCTCTTTTCCTCTCTCTTTTAAAGTATTAACGGTTCTTATAACATTGACTCGGCTTGCCTCCGCAGCATGATTATGATCTGTAACTTTTTGGAGACGATGTTGTCCTTCAATGAATGTGGTAACTGCTCGGCCTTTACATTGTAATGCATCATATTTTTCACAACGCCAGTAATAAGAGTTGCCACGATTTTTATTTTTGCGCATAATAAAACCATGAATATTAATTTTGTCTTGACCACAATTAGAAGAAACAATTTCATAAACAGTATTATTCATTTTTAAAAAGGGTAGTAAAATATATGTGATATGATTATGATAAAGTTGTTATGATAAAGTTGTTATGATAAAGTTATTATGATAGTTATTATGATTAAGGATGTTAGCTGAAATTGTTTTTAAATTTCCGAATGTTTTGGATTTGAAATGTGCATTCTGATATTTTTCCGAAATGCTGATATTTTGCCAAAATGCTGATATTGAAAATGCCAAAATGCCGAAATTCCATATATAGAAATGGAAGTGCCTAAATTCCATATATAGAATGCCGAAACGCCAAAATTCCATATTTATATATATAATAATAATATATATATATATTTTTTTTTTTTTTTTCCAAAAGATTTTATAATATATACGTTCGTTCATCTTCTTCTCATTAATATAACAAACTTTAATGAAATAAGAACAATAATATAAGAATTTAAGATAGTTTATAAATAATACAGAAAATTAAAATTTTTATTTTGAAATTAATATAATAATTAATAATAATAATATATATATTTTTTTTTTTTGAAATTATTGAAATTAATATCATTATTTTAGGCCTTTAGGCTGTTTTATTATTATTTATACCATCAATTTTCACCCTTCTCACTAAGAGTAACTAAATATTTTTTTTTAGCTATTAATTTTTATTTTTAGTTCAAATTTTAACAAGAACATAAAAACATTAATAAGAACATACTAAGAACAATAATAAGAACATACTAAGAACATTAATAAGAACATACCAAGAACATTAATAAGAACCTGTTCTTAAGTTATTATCAATTTCAATATAATCCCTTGCTCTAATAATGCCAATGTCATCATTCATTTGATCAA